TTTACGGTAGTCGACGATAATTGACGGTGGTCGACGGTGGTCGACAGAGGTCAGCGGTGGTCGCCGAAGGTCTGTGGTGGTCACCGACGGTCGGTGGTGGTTGACAATCAACAACGATCGACGATGACAGAGATGATGTTGGACTTGAGCTCTTTCTCAAAGCCTCAAGTTCTCTTTCAAGCTCACTCCTCTATGCGATGGAGCTCTTTCTCAAAGCCTCAAGTTCTCTTTCAAGCCCCCTCCTCTATGTGAGGGGTGAAACTCTATTTATAGTGTTTTAGGTGTAATTAATGCAGAAATCTGAACCATTTTGATCGGACGGTCCGGAGAGCTTTACTCGATCAGATGATGTTTGATGGATATTTGAGTGTCTTAATGATGTCAGAACTGAGCAATCTTGGGCGTGTTGGATTCGTCTTGTCTAGGCGTTCGATTCAACTATAAACTCGCTAGATTCGACATCAGTTTGACCTTTCAAATACCTCCAGAAATCCATCAAGAGTGATTTAATAATTTGATCTGGGCTTGATCAGATTCAGATTGGACTAGCTTTTATATCATTGGGTCATTCTCATCGAGCTGATCAGTTTGACTATAAGTTTACTGAAATTGAATCTCTGGATGACTTTTTATCAAGACTTGAATATTTTTTGCTCAGAATATTACCTCGAGATTCATGTGAGATGATAAAAATTGTTGGTGGCGTATCAATATTGTAGCTAGCTAACACACTCCATACCAAAAATACGTAGGCCTTCCATGAACCTATGACAATTTATCGGTCATTATTTAACCATAAGTAGATGAGAGACAACTTTTAAAATGATCCCCTATAATGACATCAAAAATAAAATTTTCTTAGACAAGTGAATGTTATATGTCAACTTAATTAGTAACACAAGAACAACTAACCATTTTAGAGTGTGCAACCTTATGTAATCTACGTAGTTGGACAATATTTGGATGACTTTTTGGAGGGGCGGGGGTAGTAGTCTCAGCCATTATTTTAAACGGCGATCTTGGGGCGCAATCTCGCAGCCATCTTCTGCTTCCTTTCTCACATGCAGACGATCCCGCAGTCATCTACGAAGCTTGCTTCTCTCCCTCACGTAGAATATCTCACAGGCATCGATACCGCAAACGCGTTTGCTTCCTCTCTCGAACGCACTCCAACTGCAGCTTTTTGTCACGGATAAATAGTCCCATATTGGCTAGGTGTAGGGCCGAAAAACAATATTTAAGTCCTGGGCTGCCCATCACCTACAAGAACTCTTTTGGGAGGTGACATTTTGCTTCCCTCTCGTATGTAGGCAATCCCGCAAGGCGTATACTTTTCTCCCACAGCTTTGCGCCCGATTTCATTTGGAAAGAAAAATAGATGTAATTTTTATTGTTTAACAAGTTACTGATCCATTATTTTTTGTAGCTACAGTGAGTTGATTGTAGCCAAATTAATTTCACTGTAGCATTAGTAAAACCGCAAATTTGATCTATATATTCTTTCATGTTTTCTAGGGTCAAGATGTAAATTTGATCTGATTTTAGTTTATTTTTTTTTCTCTAAATATTCGACCAGAAAAGAGAATAGGAGGAACAGGAAGCAAGTTAAGATTCAGAGATTTGATGAAGTTGTTGTGTTATGATTAAATTTCAACAAAGATATTTCAATTCTATTTTTGCTTTTGAAGAAATGAATTTCATTAGAATCTTAACTTTGACAAATCATGTAATACAGCTGTAATCCAGAATGAACAGACATCCATATTTCCACAGGTTGGTAGAGGATTTTGTGCTTATTCGATCTACGCTTTACCCCAAATTTCATTAAATAAAAATAAATAAATAAAAAATAAAGTTATGAGTGAAATAAATCAAGCACTTTCTAACGATATCCATAAAAAAATTCAATAAAATGAACACATTTACCAGATTAATTTTTAATCATTATATTTATCGACTATAATTTTGGGAGCAAAAATAATTACCTCGCCTTTTTTTCATATCTGAGGAAAACGCTTCACTAAATTACTATTATACGTGCCTCCAACTACATGGCAGGCGGCAAGTGACAGGTGGCACTGTTATCGGCGACGCTAGGGCTTTATAAATCACGCCCGCGATACAGTCCCCCGCACAAACTTCGTCAGCTCCGCTAACGCCACGTCGACAGCATCAGCGAAGCCACGCTCCCGCCAGCTGGCGTTGGGGTGCGCATACGTCACGCGTGGTATCATCTCCACCACTCGCTCCCGCATCCGGGCTACCACCGTCTTAGGAATCCGGTCCAGCTCCTCCTCAATTCGATCCCACCGGTCCGGTCCAAGAAAAACGGACCACTCCTCGGGCCGGGCTGGCATATACCATACATATTGCGTGTATGCAGTGTGCTCCGAGAAGAAGACGGGAATGCAGCCGGCGAGCACGGCGTCGAACACGGAGCGGCGCGTGAAAGAGTCTCCCGGAGGCTGCATGCAGAATTCAGCATGGCGCATGACGGAGAGAACTCGCTCGGGGTCATGACAGGCCGACGGGTTGTGGGGCCGGCACTCGATCCGGATGCAGCGGGTCGAGGCGGCGCCACACTGACGGAGTATGCGAGCGCGGGCTGCGGCTTTCTCTACGTTTGGTGGACGTCGGCCGCCGATGAAAGCGAGGAGATGCGTGCGAGGGGAGGAAAGGATGGCCGTGCGCCACGCGGCTAGTTCCGTGGCGGCGGAAGGGTGGAAGTAAGAAGGATAAGGAATGGCGAAGTGGTTGTGGGGGAGCCAGGGGACGCGCTCAACGGTGAGGACGGAGATGTTTTGGGTCTCCGGGAGGTGGAGAAGGGGGTTTGCGCCAAAGTCGGGGGTAGAAGAAGAGGAGGGGGAGCGCATGAAGTCCCAGGAGGTGCGGCCGATGACCATGAAGTGATCGCGGCCAAGGCTTTTGGACCAGGTGGGGAGCGATGGGAGGAGGGTTGCGAAGTCATGGGCGAGGGAGTCGCGGAGAGTGAGGTTGGGCTGGGATAACTGGGAGGATGCATAGAGGCCCGCATAGAAGGGAAGGAGGAAGAGTTCGGCGGAGGAAGGGTCGGGAGTTCGGCACGGATGGTTTTCAGCGCGAGCGTGGAAGATGAGCTCGGCGATGAACTGGTGGGTTGCGTGCCATGAGGAGGAAGGAGAGAGGGGTTGGCCGAGGCCACGGTTGGCGATGTGGGGGCACATGTCGGTGTAAGGACTGAGAATGTGGCATTGGAGGAGGAGGTCGGAGTTGAAGCGGGAGGGAAGGGGGACGATGTACAAGGCTGCGATAGCTGGGTCGCATTTTTCGTCCTCAGCTGCAATAAGGGTAATGTTAGTAGTAGTGTTGGAAGAGGAGGAGAAGAAGATGAGGTGGGATATGAGCCAGAGTGAGAAGAAGAGGAGTGGGACGAGGAGCTGGGGTTTGGGGATTGGGAGGTGAGTGAACTGCTTGTCTTTCGGTTTAGCGGCCATGGTCTTTGGGGATTGGGAGGTGAGTGAACTGCTTGTCTTTTGGTTTAGCGGCCATGGTCGGAGGAGGAGGAGGAGGAGGGATCCAGTTGGGTTAGTTGCTTGGTTAATTGAGCATGGGGTTTGGGATAAATGGTAGACCTGCAACTTATGACTGTGTACGTGGAAGAAGAACGTAATTTACTGAGTTTAATGGTAGTGCGTCACGTATCAGAATTTGAGCATGGGGTTTGGGATAAATGGTAGACCTGCAGCTCATGATAGGGCGTCACGTATCAGATGAGCCATAGTGCAATAAAGATAAGCTGAGCAGCGCTTTAGAGAAGAACATGAATATTGAATGCGAGGAATGCGGCATACGAAAGGATCGTTGGTCCCTCCTTGCGTTTAATTTAAGCAGGTAAAGTTGTTGAGAGGATTGGTAACTTAATTTTTCCTGGCATGCACGTGCCCAATGGATCTAATTATTTTTTTTTTGACGCATGGACCCGCACATTAATTGACCGACAAAGGTCTACATAATTTCTTAATTAAAATAATGGAATGTAAAAAATAGTAAAATTAGTGTGGGAGTGTCGGCAAAATGTTGGTTGCGATCTCTATAAAGCACCTACCTTTTTAATATTAGTAGGGAATGTGTGGTGTACTGACAATCTAATATGGGTTGAACTTAAAATTCGTTTTAGATAATTGTATCTCATGCCAGATTTTTGTTGCAATATAACAAGTAAAAGATATCATTCATATATGTCGGAATTAAAAGACATATGAAGTATTATAATCTGCCATTTCATCCCACTAAAATAATGAATTTTAAAATTATTTTCAAATTTGAACTTTTCTTAATGACATTGGGAATCAATTGAATGTCAATTGCAGTAGATGTGTAGATGTATAGTTGAATTATGCATTACTGTAAAACGATTTCAACGACAGCAATAGTTTTGATCTAAATCCTGATAAGGTCAATGAAATATTTGAAGCATAATTATAAATTTTTAAAATTCATTACAAACGATGAATCATAGAACTTACTATTGAAACTTGTTTCATGGATTTAGGAATGATTTAATATTTTCTTTAAAATTACTCATATTTTATTTTGTAAGATTTATAAGAAAACTCATTCGCAATATGAATGGGACCTGAAATTTTCTAAATTTGAAAATATTTTAAAATATTAAAGAAAAATCAAATAATATATTCTAATTATTATCACCAGTAACTTCCCTCATTAAACTAACATTGTTTGAACTTCCAACGTCTCGCCATCATTATACAATAATCACTATTTGAACTCTATGAGATTTCCATCACCCAATTAACATGGTTCAACTATTTTCGTCCAACAAATGAAGCCCGCCCATCATTTTATGTTTTTATTTTTATTTTTATTTTTATTTTTTTATTATTATTATTATTTGTCGGTCGCTTATCATCTATCGATTGACCTCACTTGACCATCATCATTATTTTTTATTTATTTTACATCATTCTCATTTATAGCCACAAATAGTCAAGATGGTATTTTAATTATGTAGTTATGCCTACATCAAGTGAAACGAAGAGTGGATTTTTATTAGTTCAATCACACAGTGAACTATTTAAGGCTAGAATTTGTGTTATTATTATTATTTTTTTTTCACTTTTTTATGTTTTCACATGAAATCCCAACATCTTACATATATTAGTCCAGTGGCTCTTGAAGGATGTTGTAACTAAGTATAAAAATCATTAATGCATGCTCTTGAAGGATCACATGAACATGATAGGGGAACATCAAGCACAAATCCTTGAACTCTTAGAATATGCTAACTAATATAATGCATAATCATAGCATGAGGTAGTTTCTAAAGTAGAGCATGCCTAAGGAAATTCTTACATGGCCTCTAACCATCATGTGAGGATCCTCTTCCACCACCTTTTAATCTAGTTCTAATTGAAATAATTAGTTCAACTCATAATTCTAATGCCTTTTAAAAAGCTCATAATCCTTCAATAGCTTCTGTGTAGTAAACTCAAACTTTCAGATTTACGCCTCTTATAATATTATATTGGATAAATGATGACACTTCATTTAAGAAAAATTTTCTCCAAGGCATAGAATCAATTATCTCTTCAATATAGTCCTAAAGAGTCATTTTCTTTATCCCACGCAATTCCTTAACACTCCATTTTGGTGAGGTTCAAGGTGCTTGCCGTAAATCTTTATTTTAGCTTCTAATTCTTAAGAACATATGGATCACTAGAAGTTCATTAAGCGTATCCCAAAATATTCAAATGCAAACTAGTACAAAGTCCATTCCATTAATATTGACAGCCAAGTTCGTATTTAGTTCCACTCTCTCTAGATGGATCATACAAAACATTGTTATCTCACTAAGCCTTTTTATTAAATTGTTCATTCCTCGGAAAATCATCATTATGTTTTCCATTATTTTTAAGATTTGCTAAAATTGGTGAGAGACTTACAAATATTACCTTTTAATATTTACTTTTAAAGCTCGTTAAATGTTATAGTAGATCCTAAACTATTGAACGTCATCTTTCTTATTACCCTCTAACCCTTTCCTTTCCACTCCTTAATATTCAAGATAGATTGTTCATTTTCAAATTTGGATAATAGAGTAGAGGAATTGATTAATGCCAAATAGGCTAATGAAGAGCCAAAAATTTACCGCGAAGTAAGTCAGTTTTTCATGCAAATATAAGTGTCCTATAATAATGCAGTTAAAGAGTATCGCGTATTGTACCCACGAGGAAAGGGTTAAGTATTTATTCTGATGAGTGAATATTTAGTTTGTTAAACGTCTAAACCAACTTTAGCTTGATCACAAACAAGATATATTTTTGTTAAAACCCTACTCAAAAGCAAAAAGCAAAAGTTAACGATGTTCGAAAACACCAAAAATAGCAATAGAGAAATCTTACAGTTTTTCATAAGATATGAGGCTCGCGCTCCTATGATTTAGCTATTGTGGTGGTTCATGGTCTTCGTAGACTTTTCCCTTCATAATAGTTTAGATCTCTTCAGAGAAAAGTCTTCTTGATCATGATATCGCTTCCAGGTGCAACTATACACTAGAGGCTCACGCAAGTGCACGTGTCGTATCAACAATATCAGATTTTAAATTCCAGATTGTCGATCCCACAGATAGTGAGGTAATTTAAAATAAGGGAAGTTCTAGCCTACAAATTTTAATTCCTAGTCTGAAAAGTTGAAATGCTAAGTTTGAAAAACGAACCTACGGTGTTACCACAAAAAACAAATTTAAATCCTACACAAGTAATCCTAGTTTTAGCAATTCAGATTGAAAGATAACAAATACTTAAGTGACTATTTCTTGTAATGAGTTAAGTAAGATATGGAATGTAAAATTGCAAGTAGTAAAATACTAGTGACAAATAGGAGCAACATTCTTCTTTACCCTCTCCCGAGTGCATAAAGAAGCTTAAATATAAATGATTTTAATTCCATAAATCCCATAACAATTTCTTCAAAGCATATTTTCCTAACATTTGCATCTCCTCACAAGACATATGACCTATACTCCATAGTTCAATTCTATTAACCTAATTGGTCCTACCATAGCTTTCCAAAGCCTTATGGTTCACAAAGCATTTCAAAAATTCACTTGCTCGAAATGAAAATAAAATATAGTTCTTCCGGTTAATCATCAATATTTGAAAATAAAGAAACTATATAACATTTCACATTCCATTCATCCTACCTAATCATAATAAGAAAGAGTTCAAGGTTTAGCCAAGAAGCATGTTGATTTCACCAAAAAAATGCATTGAACATAAGATAAATGAACGAAATCTTTGTTACAATAGAAATGCATAGTTGAACTCATTTTTGGTGAGGTCTAAATTATTTTCCTAGGATTTAGGATCTAGTCATAGGACTTTCCTATTGATTATACTAGAAGACTAGTGATGAAGCTACCTCACCTAAAGACTCAAAACAATTTTTAGCTCTTTTATGAAGACTCATATAGATGGTCTCAAGTCTCAGCTCTCGGTTGAGATGGTTAGAACCAATATGTAGTGGCTCAAAAAATGAGTACCTATAAGACTATGAGGCTTTAGAGAGGCCCTTCATAAATTGGACACTCACCTCACTCATGCACACTCATACACACCACAAACACATTCACATGCACCATGTCACATACCCCATACATAACTCGCACTCAACTTATGCACTACCACAATTCACATCACCCCATACCTTCCCCCTCCCCCCAAAAATCATTCTCTTCACCCTACATACACATTCATACACACCACCACATTCTTACTCCACTACAATACACTCCCACCACCAAAATTCACTCAATTCATCAAAATTGTCCAGTTTGCCACTCCAACTACCCAAGATGCCAAAATTGAACCTAAGGTGCTAAACCAAAAATTCACCAAGTATGAACTCCAAATTCCATCATTCAAAGCCTATTAAAATTTCCATGATTAATTCCTAATCGGATTAACATTAAATCCAAGCCCAAAACCACCTCAAGAAAAAATTTACAAGCCCACTAATCTTGAGCCCAACTTCTAAATCTTCTTAAATCCAAGCTCACATGACAAAATTCAGCGCCCATGATCAATTTGATCAAATTATTGTCCAAAATTTTCATGATTGATGAACTAAAAGTGTAATTCATGAGAACCCTTTCAGCACTTGAAATTTTACCCACCACCTTAATGCAAGCCATGTAGGCCATGCATCAGCCATAGGCAAGCCATATGGCTTAATCTAAGCCTTGCACAAGTCTCATGTGAGCCACAATGCCATTTATGGGTAAAGGAGGACCTAGTTTTCACATTTGCCAAAAAGCACTTAACCACTATCATGACTCACTTAAATCTAAAATTAATCTAATCCATATGATGGGGACTTATCTATTCACTTCCCCAAGCTGATCACCAACCATAGCTATCTTGGTGGATGAACCTAACCCAAATACAAGACTTGAACCCAAGCTCCCCCAAAATAA